TGGTTCTAACAAATTTAATTTATCTCAACCTACAAAATATAAGAACCGAAATAGTAAAACCTAAGTAATCAAAGATATCTCCAACAACTAAAAGACTAAAAGTAAGACTATTTTTTAGCGACTTTTTTTGGGTCGCCTCCTTCCGCCCATAGATAATTTCTATCGCTGAGCAGAAAAAGAAATCGTCATCCCTGCGATCCAAGTCGCTTTGAAGGAAACAAATTGATCACTGAGGCCACATGCATGAAGGCAAACAATAATCATGCATGGAAGGAAACAATTGGCAAAGATAAAGCAAGACCTCCCTTTCGCCATGCGATACCCCGCGACATAGAGAAAAGAAACTACCATCCCCTCGCGATCCCCGCCGGTCATGAAGAAAATAAATCGATTTTGAGGCCACATGCATGGAAGGAAATAATAATCATGCATGGAAGAAAACAATTGGCAAAGATCAAGAAAGAGCGACTCAATGAGGTTGGCCCTTAATTTTAGTGTTTCTAGCATGCGCACCTAAAATTAAAAGTGGTCTGCTCCTTGAGAACATCGGTGGTGCCAAATAAAAGATGTGCATGTTTATACATGGTGAGACTAGTGAACCTTCAGTAATTTCCTAAACGAATATTCCCACCATTCGTATATAGGTTCATTCCCCTGCTGCGTTTCTTCGTGCTCCAATTAGCATATAATCTCCTACAACTAAAAAGAACAAAATGTGGATATTTTTTTTTGTGCGAAAGCATTTGTTTTAGTTGATCCGCTCGCCACGCCTGCGATCCCACGACATCTTAATTAATGATTGATCGTGCCATTCTCCTTGATTGAATATTGCTTGTCATGTGATAGAGGAAGTAGAAAATTATTGTGCTATCCATATACATTGCATGTTTCCATGCACCATCATACATGGCAACGAGCAAAAGGAAAGTGAATTAACACATAAGGAAAGAGAATTAAGACGTAAGGAACCTCTTTGCATTTCGAGAACCTTACCAAATCGCTTACATTTAATTACTTCTCTTTGCATTTGCAAAAGGGACAGCTTTTTCCTCCTTTCATTTGGTTTCACGTCGCGTGTTCCATCGCCTCGCTAGTTGTTTCTTATGTGAACCATAGTTGATGTCATCTCTCTTCCATGACTCACCTCCCAATCCCAAGAGAAGATCCCTACCTCTCCCTCGACCGGAGATCTCGGCCGCCAGAGGATCTCCTTGAGTCCATCGGCAGCGGCGTCTCGCGTTAGGCCACGACGGCGCGTCCTTCCTTCGATCCGCTGTTCTCCCCATGGCGGCGCCGCCGTCCCGTTCGCGACCTTCGCCGCTCTGCTCCCTGCTCGACCCCGACTTCGAACGCGTCCGGCTTCTCATCTGCGTCCGGAGAAGAAGGTCTTGTCCAAGACGCTTGCTGAACATGTGGCGTGCGGCTCCTCGTGTGGGTGGTCAGCGCTCATGGATGAGGCGGCGTCGTGACGTCTGCTTGAATCCATTCGCCGATGCCGTGCCCCCGCTGAGCTCCCCGCCAGCAGCGAACATACGCCGCAGCGGGCGTCCTCATCGGAACGCTGCGTGTCAGGGTCCACGACCGGTGGGTCCTCCATCCCACCAACGGCTACGGGGGACGCGGATGTCGTGGCGGAGCATCAAGCTAGAAGACACGAGGGACGTGTTCTTCCGTGAGATCGTGCTCTCGGCCGCTTAACGCCACCCGGCCGCGAGTGCGTGGCCATGGCCATGCCCAGGGTGCTCCACGGAGATCGCGTTACGCCGGGTTGGTCGTCAAAGACATGGACGCCGCTTCGACACCAAACCGAGTTCTCCGTGGGGTCCATCATCCACTCGCCAAGACAAATTCTTTGGCGATCGACCGCACCGGAGAAATCTTCGTCGCAGCATCAACGCCGTCTGCCGCTTCTCCAACCGCGACATCGCCGCCATCGCCGCCGCCACCAAGGGGCTCGCCACCGCAACTACACAGAATTAAACGGTGAGCTGCACATTGTGGGTGCCATGGTGAGCACGTTCCACGAGACACGAGCTTCACCTACAAAGGCCATGATCTACAAGTGCAACCTCCATGATCGCACTGTGCGGAGTGGTCCAGGTGAGGAATATCGGTGATCGACATTGTTCGCTTCTAAACATTTCAATGAAAGCTTCAAGGAACAAGTGTATCCAAGTACAAGAAGAACAAAATCTACATGTACGAGCCATTGTATGGGGATCCATACGACTTGGTCCATCGACCGAGATCGTTGATATTACTACCAACCAGATCCAAGTGAAGCCCGCCCGGAAAAGATGCGAGTTCCGAGGCTCTAGGTTGGATTCACCCAATCTCTGGAAGCTCTAGAGTTTGTAACCCCTCTGACGCCACGCACTCGTGACTGTGTTAAATTCATAAACTTTGCTTTTTGGATTAAATGTCTTTTAATGTTGGTATTTAATTTAACAAGATTGTTATCTTATTAAAGCGATCCGTGTGTTTTTAGTATAAATTGTTAGTTATCCCGTAGTAACGCATTTGAAACACGGTACCTAGTTGTGACAATGTATGAACCCCCTGCACATAGTCAGCAGCAGCATCTTCACTGGTCTTGTTCTTGCCAAGATTGACTCCCAAGATTCCAGGTCCTGCTTTTCCTCCTTGCTTTACGTCGCTGGTTGCAGGAGGCATGGAGCTTGAAGTTTCTTCCATCTTCCGCTTACCATGTTGTGCCCCAAGACGCTTAGCAACAACTACAATTCCTTCACTGTTGAATCCGCATCGGTTGATTACAGCACTTGGGAAGCAAAGAAAACAGCAGCATAAGAAACTAATTGGTACGCCATTCTGAATTTTCTGGAACTTGATTGAGATGAAACAATTTGATATCAGTAACAAAACACAAATACTTACCCATGCTCCTTTAATCTGAAAATTCAAGGCTTGGGATTTCCCTCTTGAGGAAGAGGTGTCACAGAGCCAACTTCCACAAAGCCAAATCCCATGCCTAAGAGACCTTCAACTGCCTCAGCATTTTTATCAAAGCCAGCAGCAAGACCAATTGGGTTTGCAAACTTCCTTCCCCAAACCTCTAGCCCAAGAACTGGTGGATCAGGTCTCTTTTCTCTAGGAACAAATCCATGGGCAGTAGCTTTAACAGCTAAACTATGAGCGAACTCTGCATCCAGCAGTGCAAATAGTGGGTTCACGAGTTCTGTCGACTTGAATAACCAGCCACTGCACGATTAGAAAGGGTTCAATGAAGGGTACTCAATTAATAATGCTATAAATGGCTACAGCCTAATGAGCTTTCAAAATACCAGTTAGTACAGTTTTTCAAGCACATAAGGGGTGGTTCCACTATATTCCAAATAAAATTAGAACTAGTTCTAGATAATTAATAGTCAAGAGCTCAATATCACGCACCAAAACTTTCATTCATCTGCGGTACTCACATAAGCACTTCCACTCCTCCCAAGCAATGGCCAACGCTATCATGGCCCCAGTTAAAAGCCTTCCCTGCCACAGTGAAAATAACCACAAAAAAAAACAAATTAATGAAGCAAAACCCAAATAATAGGCAATGGAAGAAACCACAGTTAATTCATGAAGTTTTCTAGCTGCCTGCTTAATTAAATCCAATCTATGGTTGAGACCTCACAAAATCTTTCACAGCAAGGAATGCATTAAGTTTTTCAGTTGATTGGCATTGCTGGAAAGATCACATATTTTTTTGTAACATGTTCAGACTCCCTGATTGAAGAGTCAGCCCTCTATTGTTGTGGTACGAAAAAATACTGATAGGAGATAGTTTTGGCATCACATCATGTCCATATCAAGACAGATTGTAAAAAACTGTGGCAAAAAGGCTTAACAAAAAGACATCTTTCCTAACGCAATGGGTTAAGCCAGCATAAAACATCCGACGAATCAGCAGCATCAAGCACAGGGAGGGCCGCTAAAAGTAGTAACGAGAAGCAAATAAGCAGCACGCCGACCACAAACTCAAAAGTTACCGCTCCTCATGCTAGCTAGGCAGCTTTGCTGAGAAAGAGAACGGGGAGCTCAGCAAGATCACCGCACGTGACGTGTATGTCCAAATGCCGAGGAGACGGTGGCGGCGGTAACGAGCGCTGTTACCTTGCGGGTGGCGGGGCACCTTCTTAGGCGCGCAGCTGCGGCTGCGTCCACCGCCACCGACGCGCCGGACGCGGGCGTGTCGCCGTGCGCGCCGTGCCGCGCAACCTGGGAGCCGTCGAGGGCGGCAGGGTGCGGCGCCACGCGAGCGCCGCAGCGGAAGACGACATCGGGAGCGCGAGGGGGGAGACCAGGCGCGGGAAGGGCGGGAGGACTGTGGAGCGCGCGAGGTGGGCGGCGGCGGCGGTGATGCTATACAGAGGCTGAGCCGGGTCCGGTCGGTGTGGGAGCAAGCAGAACGGCAGCAGAGTGCGAGGGCTTAAGCGGGCAAGAAACAAAGACACGTTGGGTTGGACCCAGATACCATGGCCCATGGGCGCGTTTGATATCCGGCCCGTCCGGCCTGGCCACGCCCACGCCGTAGTAACCACGCGTGTTTGATTTGCTGGACCCATCTTTGAGCCTATAGTTTTCCAACGGGCCAAGACCATTTGAGGCCAACACGACACGGTACTATTTGGCCGGCATGAAAACGGCCCTCGCCTTCGGCAGCTTACCGTGCGTCGCGCACTCGGCCGCGATGCTAACACGATGGCACGGCACGATACGCTTGCACGGCCCGCGGCCCGGCCGAGCCGTTGGATCTAGGGGTCGGTTGGTTGATCTGGGGCGGGTATATAAGCTGCTGACCGCCGCGCCTCCGCCTCCCTGGCTCGGAGCCTTTCCAAACCCTATCTCATTCGTCATTCCGTCCCCTCGTCCCCATTCTAGCCGCGATCGAGCTCTCCGCCTCTCCCATCGATCAAAACCCTAGCCACTCTCCTCTCTTCTTCCCGCCGTCCGGTGGTTGGTTAAGGCGGCGTTGGTTGCATTCTTGCGGCACACCTGCACTTCTACACCACTCTTCCTTCTCTTTGACCGTCGATGTAGCTTTCTGCCGAGATCCACCACCGCTTCGTCTCTCTCTCGTCTCGCCGCTCTCATCGACGTCACCGAGTCCAAAGATCATTGGGGCTCCGCTCGATGCGTTGAGGTACCAGGGTGTCGGGTCTCCGCGACGTCGTCGTCGCCGTTGTCTCCGGTGCTCCATCGAAGAGGTGAGTCGTAACCCTAGATCTGCTTCGTTTTTTGTTCTTTTTCTTGATTTCTTCATGATCTTCTATTAACCCTAGGTGTTCTTGTTGTTCTTGGTTTTGGTAGGCGTTGGCGTTGAGGGACCGGAGGTCGGCACGGCACACACGGCCTTCTACACCACTCTTTCTTCTCCCTGACCGTCGATGTAGCTTTCTTGTTGAGATCCACCACCGTTCGTCTTCGTCTCTGTCTTGTCGCTCTCATCGACCTCGCCGGAGTCCGGCATCATTGGGGCTCCGCTCTAATGCGTTGAGGTACCAGGGTGTCGGGTCTCCGTGACGTCATCGTCGTCGTTGTCTCTGGTGCTCCATCAAGAGAGGTGAGCCGTAACTCTAAATCTGTTCGTTTTTGTTTTTCTTCTTGATTTCTTCATGATCTTCTATTAACCCTAGGTGTTCTTGTTGTTCTTGATTTTGGTAGGCATTGGCGTTGAGGGACCGGATGCCGACGACGACGAGATGTCGGACGAGCAGGAGGACATCGGTCTCTCCATGACCATCAACGACAAGCTGCGCCTCTGCGGGATGATCGAAGACGACGAGGACGATGTCGCTGGGATGCCGAGGAGCTCTTCGGTCGTCGTCTTTTAGAGAACTCTATGGCCGTCTCGCTCTCGACCCACTTCCCGTCGATGACATCGATGCCCCCCCTAACACCGGCGGCACCATCCAGACGACGCATCATGGCGATGACAGCTCCGGAAAGAGCCTACCGCCTTTCTTCTACCTTAGTATGCTTGGGAAGATTTTGAGAAGCTCACCAAGAAGGTAAATGGTAAGGTTGTCGGTATGGCGCTTCGGTGTCTTCAACATCGTCAGAAGGAGTATTCTGCGTACTCTTAGATTTGGGCCGCCACCTTCTCCGTCATCAAGACTCTTGCCCTAAGAAGCGTGAGAAATGTCGCATGGCTCACCCCACATTACTTTCAATAAGGACGGTACTATGCGTAATTAGGAGTATTCGGGTACCGAGGTTGCTCGTGTTCACTTTTGTTCGCTTGCTTGTTAGGTTAGATCTTCCCTCCGCCTCTTGGGGAAACCGAGGCTCGGGAAGATTACATAAAAAGTCGCTCATAACCCTAGATACACAACCTGCTTTCTAAGCAAACTACATCTAGAGATCTTTTAAGTACTTCAATGAAAAGCGTGATCGCTTGATTGATGATTTGAAGAGTAATGTCATTTCATCTGCTGCTATTACCTCTGATATCTGGTCTGGAAATGCAAAAGAAGATTATTTGAGTGTTGTTGGTCATTACATTAATGCTGATTGGCAACTTGAAAAAAGGGTGCTTGGCTTAAGGCTTATTGATGCATCACATAATGCTGATAACATTGTTGAACGTGTTAGTAATGTGCTTAATGATTATGGTATATTGAAGAAGGTTTTTTCATTTTTTTGGACAATGCCTCTAATAATACTAAAGCTATGGATAAACCGAAACCTCGTAATTAAAGAGTATTTGGGTGTTGATCTATTTTTGCATCAACGCTGTGTTATCATATCATAAACTGATTGTTAAAGAGACTCGTTTGTTGTTAGTCCTATGCTTGATGCTTTCGTAATCGCTATATCATTCATTAACTCTTCTAACCGGAGTTGTCATATATAAAAGCTATTGCATGGCATCCGGTATTAGACCTAGGAAGTTTGGATTGGACATGGAGGTTAGGTGGAACTCTACCTACCTGATGCTTAGGCATTTTCTACCACACAAGGAAACTTTCCATATTTTTATTGAGTCTAATTATCCTAGAAAAAGAGCTGACCCTTTCTTTTGACTCATGAGCATTGGGCTATGGCAACTAAAATACTAGAATTTCTTGAACTGTTTTATGACTCAACAGTTGCTTTGTCTGGTGTGTACTATCCTACTGCCCCACTTATGGTTCATCATATTGTTAAGATTGCTATATACCTGCATATGTATCAAAATGATGAGCATATTAGAACTGTTGTCCAACCTATGATTGATAAGTACAATAAATATTGGAGAACCATACCTAACTTTCTTCGCATTGCATTTATCTTGGATTCAAGAGCTAAAATTAAAGGTTTTAACAAAGTTCTTAGGAAGTTAAATTTGCTTCTTCGATGTCCGATTATTCTAATAAGATGGTGGAAACTAGAACTCTTCTTTTTAAACTGTATCATAAGTATGATAATTTGTATGGCTCTGTTAGGGCGAAAAGGCCTGACCCTCCAAGCCTATCTAGTAAGAAAAGAATAGCTTGGGCTAAGATATATGATGATGATGGTGGTGGTGGTTTGCTTGGAGCTGGCTCTTCTTCTCTTCCTCCTAATCTTGATATGTCTAGGACTATTTTCTGCTACTACTTTGTTACATGCAGCAAGTTCATTTAACATCGGTTCTGAACTTTTAGCTTATCTGGACTGTGACACAGTTAGCCAGATGGATGATGACTTCAACATCTTGAACTGGTGGCATCAGCATAAACTAACATATCCAGTTCTTTCTACCCTTGCTAGAGATGTTTTCAGTGTGCCTGTTTCTACCATTTCTTCTGAAGCTACTTTTAGTACCACTGGCAGGATCATTGAAGACCGGCGACGGAGGCTGAACCCTAAAACTGTAGAGGCACTCACATGCATTAAGGACTGGGAAGCTGCAGAGATAAGGCTACAACATATGGTGGAGGATAAGGAGCTCGAGGAGGCCTTTGAACAAGTTTATCTTGATTAGTCATTTATGTAATGGTTCTGTAATCTTAAAACTTGGATGCTTTGGACCTTTGGTTGTGGATGTAATGAACAATTAAACTTATGGAGCTGGTTGTACTCTTTTTCCTTGTCTAGGGTTTCTCACAAGGGTGAGTTTTACCTAGATAGGTTTTTAATGAGGCAGCCATTGCACAGCTCCTTTAATTTGGTATTTTGTTATCTCTGTCTTGTGTTTTCTTCTGTGTGATTTCAGATTTATCAGATTTCATGTTTATTTTTGAACTGTTCTTTTGATTCTGATCCATTGAAGTGATGATGTGATTTTAGTGCTAAGACACGGCACTAGTCCGCTGGGCTACCGTGCCCTGTGGCATGACACGACACTATCTGAGGGCTTTAGTGCCGTGCCTAGGCCAGAGTTTAGGCACGGTGGCACTACACGGCACGGCACGACAGTGACACCGTGCATGATAATGCCGTACCGTGTAGTGCTAGGCACTGTAGCAACCGTGGCACCCGTTTGGAAAACTATATTTGAGCCTGGCCAGCACCGTGCAAATCCTCCTCCTCCTCCTCCTCCTCTCTCTCTCTCTCTCTCTCCTGGCTCCTAGCAAACGCAAAAGAAGTCCGTTTCTCCAGAGCCTGGCTGGCTTCAGCGTCGATGAGTGGGATGGTGTTACCTCCTCTCACCCACCGCCCCCTTTCACGCGGCGTGAGCGCCGTCTTCGTTGTGCCTCTCACTTTCTCCTCCCCAGCTCTTCTTCATCCATGGACAGCTCCGCGCCGAGGCGGCCGCCGAGCTCGAGGGCCACGACGCGGCCAGACCGCGCGTCGCAGATGACCCCCGGCCAGAAGCAGTGGAGGAAGGCTATCTCCGCCAGTCGCCGACGAGGACCAGGACCTAGGAAGCGCCAAGCGGGACGGAGCGGTGGTGGGGAGCTGTCGCCACGAGGGAAGCTGCTGACCAGCGTGAAGGGCGCCGCCGCAAATCAGCCACCGTGCGACGGACTCAACCACTCCTTCCTCGCGAGATGCCGCCGCCGCCCATGTGCTCCGCCTCACCCGGCCACCCGTCGGTGGCGCCCGTGTCCCCGCCGCCCCGGCAGGAGCAGGTGTGGGCGTCCTCCATCTATGGCCTCGTCTCCTCCCTCTGTCCTCTCCTCCCTTCGTCCTGGCAGAGCAGACCCCATGGGTGTTCGATGAAATGACCATAAGGAGAGAGCAAGGAAAGGATGGTGATAAGGCTACCACTTCCTTGATGCGAGGTAACCATATCTACTAGAACTGGAAAACAAACATAATCCCTATCCAGCCTGGCTCATTTGGTCCAGTGAAACAAACAAGTGTGGTTGTGGGAGCCGGGCTAAAGCTGGCCACGGCCAGGCCAGCCGGCCATGCCAGACAGGGGCAGGAAATCAAACACGCCCCATATGATATTGCATGGGTCTCGGTCCAGTTTGTCATGGGCGGACCCAGATATGTGGATGTGGTAGTTTTCGCCAAAATTCAGATTTCAGCCCATATAGGGAGGAGATTTAACAGCAATTTTCTTAGTGGCCCGTACGCCATACCCTACACCTGCAGTTTGCCTTTTGCTCTCCAGTTCCTTCGCTGGCGGCGACGCGTGCTCTCTCGCTTTCTCCCATGTCGGTTCCTTTTGCTCTCCAGTTCCCGGCGGCGGCGACGTGCTCTCTCGCTTTCTCCGTGTCGGTCACGTGCCCGCAGTCTGTCTCTGTGGGGGCCGGCGATGAAAAACCTCTCTAGTGCCTCTCTGTTCATGACCGGACGCTGGGTGATGGCGAGTCCGGTCGATAAAAAACTTCTCTAGTGCCTCTCTGTTCACGACCGGACATTGGGTGATGGCGAGTTCGGTCGATCGACCGGACGTGGAGTTCGTGTGTGCACGTTGGGAGCCATTGGCGCCCAACGGTAACATTCAAACGGCGAGTACACGTGGCGAGCGCAGCGTGACCGGACTCTGGACCGGATGCGTCCGGTCACTGCAGCAGCGAGTCCGGTCAGTGCGCAGAAATTAGGATGAAGCGGGTAACGGCTATTTTAGCCCTTTGAGCTATAAAAGGAGATGGTGGCTGGCCTTTTGAGAGGTTGAGCACCTTGGGGATGTGTTGCCCTTGTGTGTGTTTGGTTTGAGAAGCCTCTAACTCACTTGTGTTTGCGAGAAGTGTGAATCCATTGCGAGTGAGTGATTCTAGTGCGATTGCATTGTGAAATTGCATCGAGTGGCACTAGGTGTTCGAGTTGCAAACCGGTAGTGCTTGTTACTCTTGGAGGTTGCCACCTGCTAGACGGCTTGGTGGCGAGTTCTCTGTCGTGAAGCACGCAAGAAGATTGTGCGGTGCTCCGGATAAGGATTTGTGAGGGGTATTATGCTCACCCCGCGGGAGCCGCGAAGAGCAACACTAGTAGAGCGTGTCATTGAGCTCCCTCACTTTCGTGGTAGGTTCTTACGGTGCCCAACGTGTGAGCTTGGAGGGTGATGCCAATTAGCCGCCGAAGCACCAAGTGAGCGGTCGACACAACGGAGAC